CCTTCCGACTCTACGTACTGTGAAACTAGGATCAGGGACACGAGGAGCCGTGGGAAGCTGGGCAGGTCCCCCGGCAGCTGCAGCAGTGGCACCAGCGATCCTGCTCAAACTCTTGCCCTGCTAAGGCCCTCGTGTGCAGGATGGTGGAGGCGATGCACGTGGGCCGGGCCAGGTACAACTGGTGGACGCCCCGCGAGCCGGATAACTATTTCTCATGCTTCTGGCCTCTACTAGTGCCCCCTCCCCCTCTTTCCTCATGCGCCAGGTGCTTTTTCAGCTTTGCTCAGAGGTGCTGGGCGTTGGCTGTAGCCAGGGCCACTGGCCGCTGCAGGGCTGCAGACTAGGGGGTCTGTGAAAGATGACTACAATCAAAAGTATATGCATGCTCACACTGTAAAAGTCAAAGGGGCCTGCACCTCTATTAAACAAATGCTTAGGTGTCTGCAAATGAAAAAACAATGAGTTTAGGATTGTCTGGGATGGGTCACGCAGGGCAGGGCGTGGGGGGGAAGCCACGGCCCTGCTCCTCTGGGTTCTCTATGCTAAGAGCAGCAGCAGTGTTAAACCTCATCCCACTACTCGCTTTCAGACCAACACTAGCTGGCCAAGGCCTTACACAGCGCATTTTTCAAAGCACGTAGCCCTTCCCCGACAACGGACTAGTGCGGCGGGTGTCGGAGCCGGCCGCCCTCCCCAGCCACTTGACGCGCCCACAGCCAACTGGCCCGTCCCACCTCCTGCCCTCTCTAAGGACGGCAACCCAACAACTTCAGCCGCGACCCCATCGCCAACTCCGGTTGGCTGCGTCTGCAATGTGATACAAGCATTCCGCGCGCTCCCCTGCGCTGATTGGGCAGCGCCGCGAGAGAAGGCGGGGAGGGCCGGCACGCTGCGGGAGTGACCAAGATGGCAGCCAACGGGCAGCTGCTCACCTGGTGAGTACGACTGTCCGGTGCCTGCAGGCGGGGACTTTTCCCCGGTCCTGCCCTGCCCTGCCCTGGAAGCGGCTCGCGGCGGGGGCTTCCCTCAAGGCTTAGTCGCCTGCTTCCCTGTCCTTCAGTCTCAGCGGCCCGCCGCCGCCTTTCAAACCCCGCCCCCGGGGCCGCCCAGCTGAGCTGGACTGGCTCGCACCTGCGCCCTTGGCTCTGGGCCCCCCACGGCCGACCGAGACCTCCTCGTGTGCCGTGCTCAAGTACGAACTCTGAGCGGTTTTCCTGTCGCAAAGAATTGGGCCCAGAGCAGAGCAGGATGCCTTTAGCCCTGTGCATTGGAAATCTGACAGCCCCCCTCCCACACCTGACAGCGCAAAGGTTGCATGGGTCTTAAGGCACCCCCGGGGGCCACAGCATCCTGGGTGAGGATCATTGATGTAGGCGCTTCTTGGTCTCTTGTCTGCTCAGATCCAGCATAGTCCTGTGCTTACCTGGCAAGGGAAACACTGTGACCACAGAGGTGGTCTTCCTAGTTGCGCCAGGGAGGACCACTCTCCTGGCACAGGGATGGTGCCTGCCAGGGTCACGTTTAGTAAACCTCCCACTTAGCTGCTGGAATGGGAAGGTCTCGGCTTTAAGCCCACTTCATGGAAATGGGAGACTCCTCCCTGGCTTGCTCCTGGGGCCTTACAATTGAGAGCAAGTAAAACTCTGGGGCATCCAACCCCCGGGCTTGAGCCTGCAAGTAGGATGCCCACCAAAGGTTTTAGAAACATCTGAAGCCCCAGGTGGGAGTGGAGGATGTTTGCCAGTAGTAGAGCCACTCATGGTTCTGGACTTGCTCACAAATTTGGAATTTGTTTGGGCTCTTGATGTATGGAATACGGAAAATTTAATTTAAAAAAAAAATCACTGATGTAGGCAGAGGCTGCGGGCTGCGGGTGGTGCACGTCCGATGCATGGCTAACTGAAGTAAACAGTTGGCATTAAATAAATTGGGCCAGTGTATTGTGCCAGGAAAAAAAACGATCCAGCTGAGAACAGCAGAGGCCCTGGGTGGATGGATTGGAAGCACCTTCTGACTTAAATTCATTCCTTGTTTCCACTGAATTTAAGTCACTTTTATTCAGGATAAACCTAGAGCTCTTCATGAAGAATCTTTGCAGCAACCTGCTGTATGAAACCTGACCCATGCTTAACTGCACAGGAATTTTGTGCAGTTTAAGTAAAAAAGTAAAGATTATATCTGAAACGGTGTAGGAATCTTGGCGTAAATAGTTTACAGTTCTCATGTTTTGTTGACACTTTCTGTGGATGTTTCAATCGCACTGGTTTTAACTAAGACTTGGGTTTTTTTCAGAAGCTATGGTATTCCTTGAGAAGGATCTTGGTATCCTGGCTGTTCCAGATCAGTTAATTACATTCTTCCTCCCTACATTCTCTTGTAGTTTTCAATTGGATATAGGGGTCTTACTTACTTGTCTAGTCTGTTGACTAGTGCCTTGTTAAATCACTGCCTTGTGTCACCTCACGAGATTGCTATATCATTGTCGTGTAATACTGTTCATCTATGAATGTTTTTAAGTATCCATTTTCATTGGGAATGTGCCGTCCCCTTGCAGTGCTAGTTTTCACACACATCCTGTTGGACTAACAGGCAGAGGAACACAAGCCAAAGCTGTCAATGCTGGTACGGGCATGGAAGGCTGAAGATGAAGTGCTCATCTTCCCCTTCCATTGAATATTCCTAGCACCAGGTCAAGAAGATTTTACCTTTGTTTCTGATCTTATCCTTCCCTCAACGTCCAAGGAGGAGCTGAAAACAAAACTAAAAATCATGTAACAGTTACTTTGCTGATGTTTCTGTTGTCTTGCTGGTGAAGATTTTTTTTTTTGGCTGAAGATAGCTGTAACATCCTTCCGCAAGGCAGGAAAGACACAGAGAGATAAGGAGCAAAAATTAAGAAAAGCCTTGATGGTTTTTTATGGGTATAGCAAATTTAGAAATTATTTTGGTCCTTCACTTTTTGAGGTAGATGCAAAGGAGACATAGCAGTATCATACCATGCATCTCAATTGACTTTCCTTCCTTTTGGACAGCAAAGCTTTGCTTTAGAGAGCTGTAATGCAAAATTAAAAAAAAAAATCAAAATGTAAAATCATTTCAAAACAAAACTCTTGCCATTGTGTTTTGAAAAGTAAAACCAGGGATGTTTTGATATTGTCAGAACTTTTTTTTTTCATCCAGATCAAAACTGGATATTTGGACCTGACTTCATTTTGATTTCAGTTAGGGGTGAACTGATAAAGATTTTTTTTCGACCAATATCGATGGCCAATTATTAACCCGCCATATAAGCTGATACTGATCCGATAGCCGATATGCAGCCCGGCAGCTTGGGGGCTGCACCAGGCTCTTCTTGGCAGGGGGCCGGGGCTGCAGCTGTGGATGGGGGCAGGTGTTGGCTGCAGTGCTGGGGGGCGGTCTGTGGTTGGGCTACAGCCACCCAAAAATTCCCTGTAGCCCCCACCTCAGCGCCACTGCCTGCCCTGCCCCCCATCCGCCTTAAGTGCAGGCCCGGCTCAACTGCCCCACCAGGAAGAGGCTGATGCAGCCCCTGAGCCCACAGTGGGCAGCCTGCCCTTGCCCCATGCACAGACCCTGGGGGCACATGCCCCCCATGCAGTGGCAGGAGCAGCCCCCCCACACTCCTCAGCAAGCTGCCCATGGTTCCATCCTGCACCCCGCTCCACCCTGGCTGCGCAACACTTACCCCAGCCCCACTTCCTCCCTCACCATAGGGGTCTTGATCTGCCCCCCATCCACGCCTTTCCCCTCCCTCTCCCAGACTTACTGGCTGGACGCTGGTCTACACACTGCCCCGCTGCACTCCTGGCCGTGTGTGTGCTGCAGCTGTGCACATGCAGCTGGCATTTATTGGTGTAATTATCAGCCAGCTGCACCAGCCAAAAAAAGCCGATTGTTGATAGCGTCAATTTTCCTTTATCCGTGCAGGTGCTTTATCTGTGCCGATCTGATATGGACCAGTAGATCAGTGTACCTCTAATGTCTATGGTTCTTCATGTTTTGATGGAAAATGTTTTCATCAGAGTTTCTGTGACCAAGTCCAGACCTGATTCCCTGCCTAAATGTAAACACTGTCTTTTGCATTACGTTGTGTTTTAGAAATATGTATTGTTGCTTTTTTTTAACAGGGATATTCCACCAAAAAATGGCAGCGAAGTATTTTTCTCACGAGACATTTATGAAAAATATTCATTGGCTCCAACCCTCTCTGAACTATGGATGTTGTCAAACAGGTAGTCTCTCAGTTGCTGTACATATTCTTTGTATTTCCTGTTTTTGTCCCTTCAAAACATGCTTTCTTCTATTGTTTATCTTTAAGGGGGGAAAAAAAAGAACTAACTTGTTTTCTGACCTGTAAAGAATGTTAATAGCTCATTGGTAATAGCTGTGATTTTGTTTTCCCCTGTCCCTTCTGTGAGATTTCAAGAAGCTGTAGACTTTCATTCTTGGTCCTGGAAGAATGTTCTGAATCTTTGTTTGTTAGTTTTTCTTCTTTGCTATCAATTATTAGTAAACTAATTTTAGTGGTGAATCCCAAAGAACCCATGGTTTGTGGCCGTGTACCAGATTTCTTCTTCTCCCCCCCCCTTTTTGTTTTGAAGAAGACTGGTCATGCCATCTGATTTAGAATCCCATTTCTTCATGACTTTGAGACGGTGTGGTTGTTGTTTGTCAAATGACAACCATGGTGCAGTTGTCGTTTGCAGAGATTGAGATTGGTATGGGTTTTACCGAGATGGGCTGCTTGCAAATGTGGAAATCTTCCCCTCCCCTCCACCCCCATCCCCAATGGCATTTTATTTCAAACTCAGCATGATCCTGTGCTAAGCCCAACACATGCCCAGAAGAGGCATTGCATTATTTGGACCCGGCTTGCCCAATATCTGTATAGATTAGGACCTTTAGTGGGGCTTTTTTGGCTTTTTTATCTAATAGCTGATTCAGCTATTAGATAAAAGCAGCAAAAAGCCCCAGTGAAGTGCCCAGTCTATACAGAAGCTGCAGAGCTAGGTCGAACTAAAGTGCTGCTGCTTCCAGTAACATGGTCTGTTTGTTTTTTTTCATGTCTGTCAGCAGCCATAATGACTGCCACGTAAAACAGGAAATAAATTAACTATGTGTAGCAGAAGAATGGTGGGTGGGATGCCACAGAAAGCAGGGATAATGTTCATACATGTGGTGTTAATTCCATGATTTATCTCTTGCTGTTTTTAAAGAAAGGGATTGTTATCAGCATGGCTGACTGGCTAGCCAGACTTTTTACCCAAGCAATTACATTAGGTCTCTGTTTATATTTCTTTTAAAATCAGGAACTGAATTTAATCACCAGGATTCTGGGTTTTCCATTTCCCACTGGGAAAAAACACAGATTTTACCTTTCAGTAGAGAAAAAAGCGGAATTTTTGTTTTAACAGCGATACCCGCAGATTATCCACTTTTGCAAAGAACTCCCTACAGGTGGAGGGGCATGGAGAGGGGAGGGGGTGGGGCCAGAGACTCTCTGACAGGGCTTGGATCAGGCTTGCTTTCCTTCCTGGAGCCTTTGAGGTAAGTGGAGCTTGCTGGGGGCCTCCTCTGGTGGGGGTAGGAGGGGTGCTGAGGGGCTATGGGTTGTGAATGGGGGGGCACCAACAGGGCTGGGGTGGTGGCCTGTGGGTCGGGTGTGGGTGACTGCCAGGGTTGTGGGCGGAGGGCCCCTTCCCTACCCCGTTCATCCCCAACAGACTTACCAGCCGGACACCACTCTCCATGCTGCGGGGCTATATATTGGTCAGAAGGGACCTCAACAGATAATCGAGTCCAACCCCCTTCCCTGGGCAGGAAGGACTGCTGGGGTCAGATGACCCCAGCCAGATGCGTATCCAGACTTCTCTTAAAGACCCGCAAGGTAGGGGAGAGCACTTGGAAGCCCATTCCAAATTTCGGCCATCCTTACTGTGAAGAAGTTTTCCCTGATGTCTAGCCTAAATCTTTTCTCTGTCAGTTTGTGACCATTGTTCCTTGTTACCTCAGGAGGCACCCTGATGAACAGAGCATCTCTGATCCCTTGCTGTGCCCGCTAATGAATTTGTAGGTGGCCACAAGATCACCTCTCAGCCTTCTCTTGCAGAGGCTGAAGAGATCCAGGTCCCTCAGTCTCTCTTCATAGGGCTTGGCCTACAAATCCTTAATCATAGAAGTGACCCTCCTCTGGACCCTCTCGAGGTTATCCTCATGCTTCTTAAAGTACAGCTCCCAAAATGGATGCAGTACTCCAACTGCGGTCTGACCAATGCCACATAGAGGGGGAAGTATCACCTCCTTGGTTCTATTAGTCATGCATCTGCTGATGCATGATAAAGTGCAGTTAGCTTTGCTGATGATTTTGTCACACTGACAACTTGTGTTCATCTTGGAGTCCACTGTGACTCCCAAGATCTCTTTCTGTTTCTGTGCTGCTGAGAGGGTCACTTCCCAGCCAGGAATTACTGGATATTTTTACACACTAGGTACAGCACACTGCATTTGTCCTTGTTGAACTGCATCCTGTTGTGCTCTGCCCACTTTTCCAACCTGTCCAGGTCTGCCTGCAGTTGTTCCCTATCCTCCGGTGTGTTCACTTCCCCCCACAATTTAGTATCATCATGTAGGTTCAAATCAGCCGTTCCAGATGCTCTCCACCCCAGGGTGTTGAGGGAGCTAGCAGGGGTTATTGCAGAGTCCTTGGTACAGCTTTACAAGCGCTCGTGGTGCTCCGCCCGGGTGCCAGATGATTGGAAGATAGCCAACGTGGTCCCCATCTTTAAAAAAGGGAGGGAGGACCCGGGCAACTATAGGCCCATCAGTCTTACCTCAGTCCTAGGGAAACTCTTTGAGAAGATTGTCATGGAGCACATCTGCAATGGGCCGGCCTCAGAGATGAAGCTCAAGGGCAACCAGCACGGTTTCATTAGGGGCAGGTCATGTCAGACCAACCTGACTGCCTTTTATGATCAGGTCACAAAAGCATTGGATGCAGGTGTTGCTGTGCATGTAGTCTTTCTGGACTTCAGCAAGGCCTTTGACACCGTCTCCCACCCCATCCTCATTAAAATATTGGGCGACTGTGGCATTGATGCCTACACAGTCAGATGGATTACAGATTGGCTGAAGGGTCATACTCAGAGGGTGGTGGTGGATGGGTCATATTCGACCTGGGGAGAAGTGGGCAGCCGAGTCCCCCAGGACTCGGTCCTTGGGCCCACGCTGTTCAATCTCTTTATCAGTGATTTGGACCACGGGGTGAAAAGCAACCTGTTTAAATTTGCTGATGATACCAAAATTTGGGGTGAGGTGAGCACACTAGTAGGGAGGGAAAGACTGCAGCAAGACCTGGATAGGTTACAGGGGTGGGCTAACAAATACAGGATGCACTTCAATACTGACAAGCGCAGGATGCTGCACTTGGGCAGTAGTAACCAGCAGCACACTTATAAGATGGGAAACTCCCTTCTTGAGAGCATGGAGGCAGAAAGGGATCTTGGAGTCATTATTGACTCCAAGATGAACATGGGCCAGCAATGCGAGGTCACGGTTGGTAGGGCTAACCGGACCTTGTCGTGCATCCACAGGTGCCTCGCAAGCAGGGCCAAGGAGGTGATCCTCCCCGTCTGTGCAATGCTGGTCAGGCCACAGCTGGAGTACTGTGTCCAGTTCTGTGCACTGTACTTCAGGAGGGACGTGGACAACATTGAGAGGGTCCAGAGGAGGGCCACCCACATGATCTGGGGACAACAGGGCAGACCCTACAATGAGAGACTGCAGGACCTGAACCTGTTCAGCCTTCACAAGAGAAGGCTGAGGGGGGGACCTGGTGACCGTCTATAAACTCACTAGGAGGGACCAGAAGGGTTTGGGAGAGACCTTGTTTCCCCTAGCGCCCCCTGGCATAACAAGGAATAATGGCCACAAGTTGTTGGAGAGTAGGTTTAGATTAGACATCCGTAAGAACTACTTCACAGTTAGGGCGGCTAGGATCTGGTAGGTGCTGGCTCCTACCCTGGGGGTCTTTAAGAGGAGGCTTGATGCCTACCTAGCTGGGATCATTTGAGCCCAGTTTTTTCTCCTGCCCAGGCAGGGGGTAGGACTTGAAGATCTACAAGGTCCCTTCTGACCCTGCTTCTATGATTCTATCATCCGCAAGCGTGGACACAGTACACTTCACACCCACATCCAAGTCACTGATGAAGACATTGAAGAGTACAGGTCCAAGGACCAAGCCCTGTAGGACCCCACTGACCATATCCTTCCAGGTCAATACCAACCCATCTACTACCACTGTCTGGGTGCAACCCCCGTAAGCCAATTTTCCATCCACCAGACCATGTAAACGTCTAAGTCACAGCCTCTTAAGTTATTTAGGAGAATGGGATGAGATACCGTATCGAAGGCTTTCCTAAAATCCAAGTAAATGACATCCACCTCTACTTGTGCATCTAAGCGTTTTGTGACCTGGTCATAAAAAGAAACCAGATTGGTCGGGCATGATCTACCTGCTACGAATCCATGCTGATTGCCCTGCTGCATTATTTTTCCTGCTGGACTTGCACAAATATGATCCTTAAAAATTTTTTCAAAGACCATTCCAAGGGTTGAGGTGAGCCTATAATTACTCGGATCCTTCTTCCTCCCCTTCTTGAAAATAGGGACCACACTGGCTCTTTTCCAGTCCTTGGGGACCTGACCCAAGCACCACGAGCGCTCAAACAGCCGTGCCAGTGGTTCTTCTGTGACACAGGACAATTCCTTCAGTACTCTCGGCTGCAGCTCATCCGGGCCTGCTAACTTGAACACATCCAATCCATCCAAGTGACTCTGCACCAAGTCAGCATTGACAGTTGGTGGGCTGGTCACCCTCTGATGCCCATCTAAGAACCCGTTAGGAGACTTGTCCTTGTTCAGGAACACGGTGGCAAAAAACTCATTGAAGAGCTCAGCCTTGTCCCCCCATTGGTCACTAATTGCTCCTGCTTGTTCACTAGGGGTCCTATGGTGCCCTGCGCCTTCCTTTTACTCCCTACATACCTAAAAAAAAGACTTTTTGTTGTCTTTAATTTGTGTTGCCAGCCTCAGCTCTGTAGCTGCTTTGGCTTTTCTAACTGCCCCCCTGCAAGTGCAGGCCAAGCAGGTATACTCTTCCTTGGTAGCTTCACCCTGCTTCCACTGCTTATATGCGTCTCTTTTTTTTGCGATTGGGCTTCTCTGGATTTTTCTGTTTAGCCAAGGAGGGTTTTTTAGCCCCCTTCCCTCACAGTGGGATCGTCTCCCTCTGCGCCCAAAGGATCGCTTCCTTTAGGAACGAAATCAGATCGGTATTGGCCGATGTGTCTGGTTAAATATCAGCCCAAAAAATCTCTGTCGGTGCACCCCTAGAGGCACATAGTCTCATGCCATTGGCTCCTACTTGCCTACATGTACTGCTTCCCTCTGAAGTGCTGGAAGCCCCACGTGGAGGCATGGTGCCTGTCTGGCCTGATGATGCACAGCTCCTGGTCCATGCACCATTGGGCTGGCTGGCTCTGTGCCTGCACATGGAGCTACCAGCACTCCAGCAGGAAGCCACCCATGGAGGCACAAAGCCTACTGGGCTTGATGGCGTGTGGCTCCTGCCTGCAGTGCCACAATCAGCATGTGTTGGCGTGAATCCAGCCTGGTCTGGTGTGAAGGCGCATGCCAGCGGGACTGGCTGACTCCGTGCCAGCAAGTACTGGCCCTGGGATTCAGCCAGAGGCATGTGCCACTGTGGGCTCTGCCTGCTGCTGCCATGAGAGCCCTGAGAGCGGGGGCAGTGCACCTGAAATCCCTCACCTGCCCACAAACCCCCCACATACGACCTCTGACAGTATTATTTTATGATGAAGTTAATTAGCTTATTGTGCCATAATGCTGGCATACATGTAGACATGTAGACTTTACTAAGCTAATTGGTCAACTCTGCAATAAAGCACATAATGTAGTTGCACCCAATGACTCTCACCTTCCCCTGTCTTCAGAGAAATGGAGTAGCCATCAAACTTCACCTTTGTTGGAACAGCATTTTGAGGAAATGCCCAGAGCTTAGACTATGGGCAGTCAGGCAACCATTTACACCACTGTTCATGAACCTGTCCTTGATCTTAGTTGCAGATGTTAAAGCTTAGCCATAGTTAGAGGAAACAGATTAAAACTTAGTGAGAGAGAAAGCAGCAGCATCTTGGAGCACAGCTTTTAAGGATGCTCTAAAAATTTGTTCATTGGTATACAGCGGCTCCTGATAATGTTTGCTAAGGTAAGTATTCCTTTCCCATGGAAGCTGCAGCTGATGTGATGGTGGGTTGCTGATAAAATGAGGGGGAAAAATTTAAACCGTCAGCTCAAATAAAGTATAATGCTGTAAATATGGATAGAAAGGTGCTGTCGGATTATTTTGGTTTGCACCCTGATGAAGATTTTGACAGCACTGCACACTGAAATGATCTTGATGTGCTGCCATTTCATTCTGTGCTGAATGTAGCCAATTTAAGCTGCTAGAATTTCTTGACGTGCTTACATTGGCATATCTGAGTCAGCATCTTGTCGCTGCTGCAGCTTAATTAAATTTGCCAGTTTGTGCCACCAGGATGGACATATTCTCATATTCAGAGAGACAGCTGTGAAGTATTATTAAGAACTGTGGACGTGATACTGTTAGGTTTGAATAGCTCTTGAGACGTCTTCTAGTGCTGAAATCAAATCTCTAAAATATGTTTTTCCAAGATCAGCAGTTAATGTTCATTTTGTTAACCTAAAATACGCTCTCTTTTAAGCAATAGTTATTGTAAATACATAAGGGCTAAATAAGCCTTTGTATTCTGAAGTTGTTTTAAGAATCAATATTATTATATGCCTACCTTACTGTTGCTAAGACCATTGTCACCCTTCATGTCCAGTCCTTGCTTTCACAACTGATTCTAGCATTTTTTTAGTACTAAAAATGAAGTATGCTTCATTCTTGGGAAGAATTTTCTCTCAAATTTTGACTCTCACATTTGTTGAAGTGGAGGAATTTTAATTTTCCCACTGTAAAAGCAATTAAGCCTTAATAATTTAATAGTATTTTTAACTGGCATAAATTTTGCTTCAAGAGTAAATGAGATGTAGTTGATTACAAATTGTCAACACACAGTGTAATATGCCTAAACAGTAGAGAGCAGATGAAGAAATGCTGAAATTGAATTGTCTCCTGTTCATAATGAAGATGTATCCAGAGCCAAAGGCCTTGTATTTTATAATTGGTTCTCTCACCTAAATATTCAGTGTGGCAAGCTAGTATATATAATCATTTGTAGAAACGTGGCAGTGAATAACTTGTTAAAGTCTGTGGCAAAGCCACCGTTGATGCTAGGATTTCACCTGCTTAAATAAAACCCCAGAATTATGAAATGTAGATCATGTGTAGATGCTGAAATAACATGATGGCTCTTTTAATTATAATGCATTTTACCTGATGATTAAAAAACCTAAGATATTCTGATTGATAGCCTCAGTTTTCATAAGTACCTATCTTTATGTGAAAAGTGCAGATAGTTTAAAGTATTACCTTTTTTCCTAGACGTACAGAAAAAAATGTAGACCTATCACCAAACCATGAAGAAGACAAGCAAACGTGTAACACACAGACTGAAGACAACAAGGAAATGCGTAACACACAGGCTGCAGTTCCAGCAGAGGTGGAAATCAAACCCACACCTAATGACGATCTTTTTCCAGAACCTAGAATTCCGTATCCTTATGTCTCTTGTCTAACTGAAGATGAGCAGAAAATATATTTATATCTGCTGACTAAATATGCGAGAAAACCTGCTTCCCACCAAGTGAATGCTGCAAATCGGAGAGAATATCTACAGTATTTGGTAAGAGTCTGGTTTGTGTTTTCTCCTTTTTTCTTCCTTTCTTTCTTTTTTTCTGCAAACATTCAAGCAAAAAATTGCTAATTTTGTTTTGAAATAAAAATATTCATATAATAATTAGTATTAAGTACTTGCGTCTTTCCCACTTTCCCCCTCCCCAACAATGGAAATGTGAGATTTAATTATTTATTTATTTATATTAAGCAAAAGCAGAAGGAAAACCTAGCTTTGTTTTACTCAAACTATTTTTTGGGAAAGTTTTTAATTCCATTTTACTAAAAAGATTGCCAGATATAATGGAAGCTGTCTTAATAGGCCATCTGCGCTCTTCTCTATATGTCTGCTGTTAAATGGCAGAAGTAGGAAAGATAACATCAATACATTAACCATAAATAAAATGGGATGGTGCATACATAGATGTGGAATTTCATAATGTCCTAGCCAAATCTGTTAACATGTTGGTAGATGGATATTTCTGGAAATGTTGCTTATACCTTGGGCAGTATTCCATAACATAAGCATTAGAGGTGCACTGATGAATCGGTCCAATATTGGATCGGCACTGATGTAAAGAAAATTGATTGTATTGGAAATCAGCCTGATGTGGCCAATGATTTGGCCAAGCCGCAGCGCAGCACATAGGTGGCGAGGAGCACAGCTCGGCAGCTTGGAGAGCTGCATGCAGCTGGTAAGTCTGTTGTGGTGTAAGGGGTGTAGAGGGGCAGATCAAAGCCCCCTGTGGTGAGGGAGGGAATGGAGTAGGTGCTGCCCAGCCAGGGCGGGGCAGGGTGCAACACTAAGCCATGGCCCCCCCTGGGGGTAGGGGGGAGTGTGGTCATGTGCCCCAGATCTGTGCAGGCACGGTGGGGAAGGGCTGCAGCTGGGGTTGGGGCTGTGTCAGGCTCTTCCCGGCATGTGGGGACTGCTCTTGGGGCTGTGTTCCTGGCATGTGGGGGCTGCGCTTGGGGCAGGCAGCTGCAGGACTGGGATGGGGTTATAGTGGGGGCTGCAGCCCTCCCCCCCCCCCCACATATATTTGGACCTGGGAGTTGCAGTGGACAGTAGGCCAAATATGGGCCAACAGTGTGCCCTTGTTGCAAAGAAGACCAATGGTATACTGCACTGCCAGCAGATCAAGGGAAGTGATTCTTCCCTTTTATTTGGTGCTGGTGAGGCCACATCTGGAGTACTGTGTCCAGTTTTGGGCATCCCACTATAGAAAGGATGTGGACAGAATGAAGAGAGTACAGCAAAAGGTAGTGAGAAAAGTTAGGGGCCTGGGGCACATGATTTCTGAAGAGAGGCTGAGGGAACTGGACTTATTTTGTCTGAAGAAGAGAAGACTGAGCAAGCATTTAATAGCAGCCATCAACTACCTGAAGGATGGTTCCAAAGAGGATGAAGCTGGACTGTTCTTAGTGGTGGTGGATGACAGAACAGGAAGCTATGGTCTCAAGTTGAAGCAAGGGAAGTTTAAGTTAGATGTTCAGAAAAACTTTCTCATGAGGAGGGTAGTAAAGCACTAGAACAGGCTACCCAGAGAAGTTGTTGATTCTCCATCCTTGGAGATTTTTAAGATGCAGCTAGAAGAAGCCTTGGCTGGGATGATCTAGTTGGGGATGGTCTTTTGAGCAGGGGGTTGGACTAGATGACCTCTTTGAAGTCCCTTCCCACCCTAATTATCTACGATTATGAAAGCCACTTGTGGTGTGTGTCATTCCCCTTAGGTAAACTGCAGATATTTGTTGCACAGCGGGAACTCCATTTTTCATCTGGACTAGAAATTATTCCATTCCTTATCTGAACTTTTGCACTTTCTATCTACAGTGTATAATTCAAATAACTGAGATATGTAAATCAGTCCATTGCAGGACTGATGTACATTTACAGTCATGGTTAACAGCAAGAAGGAACAGCTGTGTCTTAAATTTAGGGATCTTTTTTTCTCACATTTCAGGAAATGAAAGAATTGGTCAACAGCGAAGTTGCAGAATTTTTGAAGTTTGCACAGAATGCTGCAAAGAGTTGTGCTCAGGATTATGATACCCTCTCTGAGGATGCAGTTCTTTATGTTGAGGTAACAGTCAGAAAGGTTGCAATTCATTGCTTTTCTTGAACAACTTGTTATTGGAAAAAAACAATATACCAATTGGAGTAGACATTGTGCAGTATCAATGCAGTATAACTAATTAATTTCATCTTTATATTCAATGACTCAGTTATCAAAGCAGGTGGCAAAGTGTTTTATTTTTGGCAAGCTAGGAATTACTCTTGAACTCCACTTAAATTAACAGGCTTTAAAAAAAATAGGTATGCTACTGAGTCAGTGGCAAAAAGTGGGTAATGCAGTGAGCTGCCATGTGTAGTTACTTTAATGGAGTGGAGTAAGTTTTGAATTAAATATTTTATCCAGTAACTCCAGGGTGATTAGAGACTAAGAGTATGATGTGTTGATGTGTCAATTTCAATGTTTTATTGTATTCTCAAACAAAAGTTGAATGGTGTTTCATATAGATTTCATAGCCATTAGGGCTGGAAAGGACCTCGGAAGATCGAGTCCAGCCCCCTACCCCAGGGGCAGGAAGTCATCTGGGGTCATAGGATCCCAGCGAGATAGGCAACCAAATTTCTCTTGAAGGTGTTCAGTGTGGGTGCTTGAACCACCTCCGATGGACCTTAGGGGCTCAGACAGTAAAGAAATTCTTCCTTATGTCCAGCCTGAAACAGTCTTGCAGGAGTTTATAACCGTTTGACCTTGTCATCCCTTGGGGCGCTCGGGTGAACAAACGACCCCCCAGATACCGGTGAACACCCATGATAAACTTCTGAGTGGCCATCAGATCGCCCCAGAGCTTGCACTTTTTCAGGCTAAAGAGCCCCATAGCTCTCAGCCTGTTGTCGTAAGTTCTGTTTTCCTGACCTCTGATCATGCGTGTGGCTCTTTGCTGGACTCTCTCAAGCTTCTCCACATCCTTTTTGAATTGTGGAGCCCAAAACTGAATGCAGTACTTCAGCTGCGGCCTCACCAAGGCCAAGTACAATGGGAGAATGACGTCCTGGGATTTACTTGAGTAGAGCTCCTGTGACTGCAGTTTACACAAGGATGGGAAAGGTGGTTCAGAATACAGAAACAGATTAGCTCTGGACTAAATTGCTTAGCGTAAATGGGGTGCAGGCAACCTGAAGTTAGTTTATAGGTCTGTTTCAATCAAGACTGTTGAACTGTTTAAGTAGTGAATGAGAAAGTAAGAGTACTATTACATAGGTTTGATTTGACTTTTTATGCTGAATCAAGGATATGAATTGCGAGGCATAAATTCAGCTCTTAGTTCTGCACTCAAACTGTAGTAAGATTGCAGGAAGTGTGGTAAGAAAAGTAAATATTAATTTTAATTAGATTTTTTTACCATAGTTAGAGAAGAGAAATTAAAATTGAAAATGTTTTTTGAGGGCCTGTGTTAATGTATGTTATTTTCCGGGTAGGGCTTCTAGTAGTAATATTTTGTGTGTACGCATTTGAAACTGTAAGCTCATTCAAATAATACATGTCACTGATTTACACAGAGCAGGACACCATCTGAATTCACGAATAGTTATCTGTGGAGTAAGTTTTCACTATGATAATAATTGAAGTCTGATCTTATTTCACTTTAACATTTTCTTATTCTTTGTTTTAGTAATATTTAAGGCACATTTTTCAACCGTTGAAAGAGGAGATTGGTGAACAAGTTTCTAGTGATAATGTTAACAATTGGGATTAGTCTCATCTGTGGCAATGTATAGGGGGTGCGTGGGCATACACCCCCTAACAGGCCATGCTCCCTGGGTAGGTGACGGGCGGCAGGGCCAACGGAAGCACTGGTGCCCCGCCTACGAGTGCCGGCCAAGGAGTGCAAGTGCTGCAGCTACTTCCAGGCGCCAGTGAGTGAGATCAGCCGCAGGGACCGCCCCCCCCCCCCCCCCCC